CACCCCCATCAAATTGTACAACCCCATGATTAGTCCCCTCTCCCCTTACACATCCTCATCCCTCTGCTACTTAGACTTGATCTCACGACACTATAACTCACTACCCATTGCCACACTCTACCACTACCTCAGGGCCTTTGTACCTGCTCTTTCTTTTGTCTAGACTGTTGTCCTCTGATGACACACATGATGTTGCCATTTAGATCACATCTACAATATTACCTCCCCTGACCACACATTGAAATGTTTATTCCCTCTTCAACTACATTCCTAGTACCTGTATCTGTTTTACTTTCTAGTTTTTTACATGCGTCTTTGTTTGTTATCAGGAGCACCCCTACCGTGTCTATTAAATTGATCACATCTCAAATAATAGCAGGGTTTCTGGCACATAATTAATTGCCAAAGCATATTTTGGAGTGAAAGAAAAGTATTCATCTCAATTTCCTTCAGGCAGATATTCACAATCATTTAGCTTCTTCATTCTATCCCGTTCGTTAAATACATTGAGTGGATTCTCACTCATGCTGACCTGATGTGTCTTTTCGAAGTAGACCTGTGCTTCAGAGTGTTCAGTGGCTGCTTTGTCAGGGTAGATAACCAGGGCATTCTTCAGGGAGCCTCCGGGTCTACCAGAACGTCCAACTTTTATTTAACAGTAAAGAACACCAACTATTTCTACTACCCAAGGACTCCTCTGGGGGGTGGGAGTGTGCTAAAAGGAATACTACCGGGTAACTACTCTCTGGGAGCGTCCCATCAGCCAAGGAATCCGTGGAAAAGTTATGATCAGGAGACCAACATCTTTTGTCTTATTTATGTATCTTCTTACTATGAAAGAAGTGAAAAGAGAAAAAGAAATAGAAAGTTTTAGCGTTTTCAGGTTTCTGTTTTTCTAAATGAACTGTCCCTTTAGGCAAAAACTCTGCAAAGTCCCTCTCGAGTTAAACAAATTACACAGACTTTCCCCTGGTGGGTAGGGAGGAGTATGAACTGATTTCAAGGTAGAAGCCACAGATGGTTGAAACGGAAATTGGGTTTGGGGGCATTATTCCAAACAGAAAACAAGCAGTATTTCTAAGTGTCTTTAGGGTGAACAGAGTGACATTGATCATCTGTGTTTCAATGCTACTAAATTAATGCCAAATACGCTTCTGCTTCCTATTTTCTTTTTCAGCTGCAGACAGCAAGCATTTTTCCAAATGAGCAGCAATTCTCACCGCATAGGTTCTTGGACATGATAAAGCACTTTTCCATTCATCCAATTTCATTTCTTCTCTAGCACTTCTTATTTATCATCTGTCACTTTCTAATTGCACAAGTGTGTATGCTGAGCTGTGAATCTCTTCAAGGTAAAAATTACCCTCAAGCTGCTAATGATCACTCTCGGGCTCAGGAAGATTAATACGTTTGTGTAGGTGAAACAAAAACGTTGAAAATCTGGAGTTTTAAAACCCAACTATTATTTCCTTTTGTGAAAACACCTTTGTATTGCAGTTTTTGTTTCCTAAGAATGCTAGAACAAACTCCCATCAAATGACTGACATCTTTAAAGAACAAACATTATTTTCTTAGCATTCTGGAGATGAGTCACCTGTGGATTCCTGCTAGGGGCTTTTAGAGAGAAACTTTCCCATGGCTCTCTCCCTTTAACAAGCCATAATATCCCTTTGCTTCTTAGAGATGCATCTTCACATGACATCTCTCCCACATCTCTGTCTCTCTCCCTCTGTCTGTATGTGTAGGGGTGTGTGTGTGTGTCTTCGTATCTTCTCATTTATCAAGACCCACTCAGAGAGAATGAAGACTAAGACTAAGGTTTCTGTATGCTATACGTTAATTGATAGCAATGTCGATGAAAGACTTGTTCCTCCTAACAACATTGCATTTACCAGGCAAGGCTTAGAAATTCAATATCATATCTTTTCTCTTTTACAAAGGTCTTCATGTCTTTTGGGGGACACAAAATTTAATCCAGAAAGCCATATGGAATCATCTTAAAAAGGAAGGAGGAAAAAATCTAGAATGAGTGTCTGTGTGTGTGTGTGTGTGTATTCATCTAGCATGAAATATTTATTTGTGTGGTAACATTTAAATGACAGAATGCAAAGTATAGTTTAAATGGACATTCACACTCTAGGATTTCTGTGAAGTTCTCTACATTTTGTGATTTTTAAAAATAATGAAAATATGTCAAGAGTGTTTTTGTCACCTTTCTATTTTCCCATTTTTTTCAACTGCTATAAGAAAAATTACCAAAGGGTTTTTCAGATTACTCAGATTCCCTATTGTTTTTTACATAATCTTATAATGGGTAACTCTATGGGAACTTGTTTTGTATGTGGACTGTATTTTTGAAGCTATATGAGGTAACTAATGAAAGTATTTATTTATCTAGACTTTTTATGTTATTCTGATAGTACTCATAAAAAACTGAGGAAAAAAAGATACAAAAAGTTCATGTTTTTTCACAAGGTTTTTCTTATTTTATCTGTCCATAGTTATTCCAGTTGACTGAGTGTCAAACAATGATCTAACTTAAGAAGATTAAAGTAGCTTATTCCTGATACAGAGGTTACCGTTGCTTTGGACAGAAGAAGCAAAGAGGACAACAGTTACAGCAGAAAACATGGAGCTGGTTAGAGTTAAATAGATGCCTGAACTGCAGCTTCCAGGGTAAAATGGGACTAGATTATCCATCAAGTTAGGTACATTTACACCTATTTCCAAATCCACCATGCATCTTTCCTTATTCATTATCAAAAAAGAGCAGCTGGCATGGTGGTGATGGCAGCTGAAAAGCCACATTGAATAATCCATGGAAGCACACTCACATACTGATAATGTCACCACCAACAGCAAAATCCAGACCCAAGTACAAAATACACACTCAAGGACTGAGCGTATATTGAATATCATGCTGATGTTTTCTGAAACATTTCCTTATAGTGTGAAGGATTACAAGTCAGAGCATACCCACTCTTCCCTTGGTGGGATATGCCCATGATTGTGAAGTTGCTGAGTCAAGAGAAGACAAAATGTAAAACCCTAGACGTGAACGTCCCACCACTTCCTCCCTGCCTGCAGCCTCTCAGTGACCATCACAAAGGCTTATGATCCTCCCTCCTTGCAAGCACGCTTCTCTGTGTTTTTTCCAGGCGCTATCCAGATTGCCAGTGCATCAACTTTGGATCCTGGTTTATATTTTCCTTCCCAGTTGCGATTATTATGCTCATCCTGTCTTGGATCTGGCTTCAGTGGCTTTACCTAGGATTCAAGTAAGTATGGAATCTGTAGTAATATGACACTTCAAGGCCTCTAGGAGTCCCTGGGTAAAGTGCTCCTGGCTAATCCAAACTGTTAGCTTGCTCCTCTGCTGACACCATAGTCAGAGGTTTGAGTTCACCTAGAGGGTGCTGTGGAAGAAAATCTTGTCCGTCTGCTTGAGAATTTAGTTCCTGGGAACTTTCTGAGTGCAAACACATCTATCTACGCTGCCACACAAGCGGTCTCTGTGTTGACATAGACTTGATGACAATTGTTTGGGTTTTCAGGTTACAAGTTCTAAATTCCTTACCCAGACTCCTTCATATCCATCCAGGATGCTTGATTCCCGCATCTTCCTTACCCACAAAACCACCTAAGTACAAAAACTTGTGTTAAGGATAAGCTAGAATCTCATCCCGGTCTGTCTGGGTTCCTCGGTCCCCTAAACCTGTAGAGTGTTATTGTTGTTGTGTGCTATTGAGTTGAAACAGACTCCTAGTTGACCCTGCTGTATATTTATTATTTATTAATTATTATTATTATTATTACTTTTAATGAAAATTTACAGAGACTTTGGATTTCCATTCATTCATTGTTTCACTTTTCTCCTGCCCACCCCTCCCCGCCCCAGTTCGCTCTTCTCTTTGAAAAGTGAAATTCTTTCATTGTTATACAATCCCTACCCCCAAGTCCACTCCACTATGCAGCCTTCATTCTGGACTCCTGTCATGATAATAATACCTAATCATATATCCCTTTTAAATGGTTCTCTCCTGTAAGTTTTCAGAGGCAGTAAATCTCATAGGAGGGGATTGTCTGTTCTTCTCTGACGGCACAGCTGGTGGATTTGAACTGCCTGCCTTTAGAATTGCAGCACAGCTTCTTACCACTAGGCTACCAGAGCTCCCTAAAGTGTGATTAGTGCATAACTAAAGCATGCAGTATCCCAGACCAACGTGCCAAAGGGCCATTGTAAGCAATTCTGCTTCTCCTCCAAGGAGTCCTGGGGCACAGTGTTCAATATGCTGAGCTTTGGACCAAAAGGTCTGAAACCACCATGGGAGGCAGATGGACAGTTTTCCCCATTGGAGATGTTCAGCCTCACAGACCTGACGGAGGATCGCTTGCTGGCAGAGCGGATTCTCCATTGGTTTTTACATGGCAGTGCTCTCAAATCATTAACTTTCTTTACACTGTAGTATGCGGGACATCCTGAGTCATGCCAATACTAAATCTGATAATGCCACCTCGCAAAATCAAATAGAAAAGATTTGAGAGTGTGCTCTGTGGGACAGAGCAGTAGGTTAGGAGCCCAGAGGCCGGGGTTCCTCTGAGGCCAGATGTAAGCTACAGTAAAGGCCTGGGCCGGCCGGACCATAACTTCCAACAAGCAATTCTCCATGGTGTGAATCCAATTCAAGCACATAAAGTCACAAAAGGAAACTCTGATTAGGAAAGAATAAATATGCTACTAAAATGCCAAGTACTTATGCTTTGAGGGAAATTTCAAAATATCACCTTGGCTGAGGCTGAAGCTGGTATTTCTTAAATACCTTTGTATTTTGTGACCTAGGCAACAGGATTTAAATTCCATAGGACTTGTTAGTGAAATCTCAATTGATGCCTCAGATTTTCAATTTGCATAGTCATGCCCTAAAAGAAATGAGAACAAATATTTCAGAAACCTTGAATATTTCTTCTTTTCTCCCTCTGAAAACGAAGCAGAATTGACAATCTGAATTAATTTTTTAATATTTTATTTAAACAGTTTTAAGACCCTATGAATAAAGCAACATGCTTCCTTCCAAATCAGTGAGTCAGCTTTTTGGATGTCCAAGTCAGCTATCTGGAAAAGCATAGCACCAGGGCGAAGTCGGTTCCAGGCCCTGAAACAATGATTTGCAAGCCTGGTCAGAGAAGGGCTGATACCCTCCCACTTAGTGTCTTTTCCTGCTTTATTTTTTCTTTCTCAAGAACTGCTCCAATTTGGTTAGTAGTAGGGAGATGGTGCTGATGATTTAAAAAATTCTGTTTGTCCAGATTGTGAAAGCAGCGTGTGGCGCCCCCCCTGCCGAAGCAAATGTGTGGACTGTCAGCGGCTTCGGCAGGTGGGCATCGGTGGAGAGAGGCCAGCTGCATACCAAGTGCCCCTTCCTGGGAATCCAAGGCTTGGGAGGCCTGTTAAGATGTACAGAGAGCAATGCAGGGTGCAGGGACAGGAATCCCAAGTTCAGTCCCAGCCTTAGCCATTCCCTTCTTCAATGCTGTTTGTGGTGGCTGTACAAATACATATTGTTGTTAGATGCTACTGAGTTGAGTATGACTCATAGCAACTCGATGCTATGAACAACAGATCTGAAGCCTGTGCTATCCTGTGCCATCCTTACAGTCTCTGAGACACTTACGCCCATTGGAGCTGTCACTGTGTCAATCCACCTGGTTGAGGATCTTCCCCTCCTTCACTGTCCCTCTACTTTCCCAAGCATGAAGTCCCTTTCCAAGGAATAACCTATCCTAGCAACATACTCAGAGTAGGTGAGATGAGGCTTCATCATCTTTGCCTCCAAGGAGTATAAGGGTTGCATACACAATCCTTGTCATTCCTTTGGAATGGCTTGCCACTCCAAGAGGAGAAATTGTAAGATAAAGGACAGTTAGGTGAAAAAAAGTGTTCTCTCTAGAAGAAAAAAAATTCCTGTAAAGTGCATAATTAGACCCAGACCATAAATCATGATCAGTGGCATGTTGAAACAGTCCCCTAGCTGTCCACTATTAGTTAGACATTGCACGCCCTCATGATCCAGATAATTTTTCATTGTCCTTTCTGTCAGCCTGGGTGTTTACCTCCAGAGCTTTTAGATCGACAGGCAGAAGTGATCAGCCCCTCCCCGGCAGGTGCCCATACATTCTGATTAGTGCGTTGGCTGTTGGCACAGTTAACTCACCCATTATAAACGACCCCACCACGCCTGGGAAGAGAAGCTCATCTATCAGTGCCACTGAACCTATTTAAATGGAGAAGTTGATGGATTGTCATCTGTTTCATCAGCCCCTTTGTGAAGGCATTAACCTTCATTTGCAGCAATGCCAATTTTATTTTGCCTTAACTGTTTATCGTGCCCAACCAAAGTGACAAAGTAAGTGTGTAGATGGCCAGGGAAAAATCCGTTGCTAAGGAGAATCTTATCATTTCCTTTAACTACACCTTTTTAGTCTAGCACTGATTCCCAAAAATGGAGGAGTTTCTCCTCCTGGTGGTATTTACATCACGTTGCTATTGTTGTTGTGTGCTGTCAAGTCAGAGCCGGCTCACAGATGACCTACCAGTAGATTTTCAGAAGTCAAGGAGGAGATTGCCCAGCCTTCTCCTGAGGAGCAGCTGGTGGATTTGAACCGTGTGCCTGTGAGATTGTAGCACAGTTTCTTATCACTACGCCATTGGAGCTCAGTGGTAAAATGTTAAGATTAGCATTAGTTATTTGAGATTACAGCATTTTTACCTTGTTGACCTTCAATGCAAAAGAATTTCTCTGCAGTGATTCATGCATAGAGGGGTCGTGAATGTGTAGAATGAGTGATTTTATGTTGTGACCATAGTCTGAACAAATTTGAATAGTAGTTACAGGAAAAAATGATAAATATGTCTTTATGTACTAGTCACATTTCCATCTCCCTGGTGTTCTTACCTACTCACTAATCAATGTATGATTGTTCCAATAATTTTATAATTATACCTTCCTTCATCGTCTACATGAAATCTACGTTATAATTCATTAATTAAACCATAGAAATTTTTACATTCATTTATCCCCCTGAATGGATTATTTACTGACTTGTTTATTTATTGGATTATTTATGAAGTATTGATCTTGAGTAGTGCTGTGTAGAAATTGTTCAAAATTCTGAAGACCTTGGACTTCCTCACAGAATATTTAGTAAGGTAAGCAAATAGAGACTGATAGCTATTGCAAATAAGCTGGGAAATAGGCAAAGAGGACATCAAGACTTGAGAAACTTGAATAAAAAATTATAATCAAGCCAATTTTTCTTTTGAGCATAGATCTAATTTAGCTTTGCTCATGATCAATGAATGTGATTCCGCTGCCCTACTGGGAAGCGCAATGTTAACCTTTTGTAAGGAGTGGTAGATCTGGCAGTCAACTGAGCCATACATGTGCCAAAGGTACTAATGAAGCAATCAATCAACAATTTATCATATACACTAGTATTCTGGAGACACTAAGCCAAAGAAAGTATCTCAAATAATTTACTAACTAGTAGGATAAAACTGTGCCCCTGTTCTCAATCATTCACCAACTAGTGGGATAAAATTATGCAAATTAAAAAATGAAGATGCTCAAACCAAGCCCAATGCCATGGATGTGATTCTGAACTATGGCACCCCTCCTCCGATTTCTGAGGCTATATGTGCTTACAGAAGGAGACAACCCATGCTTGGCTAGAGGAGCAGCTGGTGGATTTGATCCACTGACCTTTAGAATGGTTGCCCAACACGTAACACACCATTCTATTAGGACTCTGTAATCATCAAAATTGTATCCAATAAAGTGTTAGATTAGACATGAGTGGAATGTGAAACAATGTCAGTGCCACCAAAGGGCTTGGAAGATGAAGAAATCAGTGGGAGATGCGGGAAATAAGGAACAAAACCTGAGCTTTGACATGAGTGAGCAAACCAGGCAAAACAAGGCACAGTGGGAGAGAACATTCCAAAGGGGGTAAAGGTAAAGGTTCAAAGCCCATATATTTGTTATTAGTTGGAAGCAGGAGTGGCGTCCACTCCCTAAACATCATGCCTCTGGAAACTCAATGAACTTTGAGAAGCTACGGTAGTTATAGAAAGACTTCAGGTCTATTGCTTGTAGGTTCGCTATGAGTCATGCTCGACTTGATGGCAATCAACAACACAACAATAATAGAAATTTAATATTTGGTGAAGCTTGGACATAAATATCTTTCATAAAAGGAAATGATGTTGGAAGAATCCTTTGCATTATTCTTTTTGTGCTTATTCTTTTTAGTTTAAAGGAGATGTTCAAGTGTGGCAAAACGAAAACTGTCAGAGAAAAAGCTTGTGCCGAAGTGATTAAACAAGAATATAGGAAACTCGGGCCCATGAGGTAAGATACACACACACACACACACACACACACACACACACACACACACACTGTTTATACTCTAATTGTTTAAATGTAATTAGTGCATAAGTGTAATATGTTTCTAACACTTGATAAGCATCCCAATGTACTCACCTTTGTAGATAGAACTTAATATGACAAAATACATGTCCTTGTCTGGCTTGTGACTACCAGGTTGAAGGGCAAAGAGTTGAGGGACCCACAGTGGAGGAGGACCTTTTTTAGGTGCATTGATGCTCTTCACTCATGTTTTGGCACATACATGGTTTGCAGTGTGAAGTCTTCTGTTAAGATGACTTCTGACAATAGCTCTGGAAGGTACTACTAAAGTCCCAAGGGAGAAAATGGGAAATGATGGGATTTGGAATTTCCTCACAGGTATCAAGAAATTGTGACCCTGATCCTCTTCACTGCGATGGCTCTGCTGTGGTTCAGCCGAGACCCTGGGTTCGCTTCGGGCTGGTCTAAGCTTTTCTCAGGGTGAGTATTACATTCTATTTGTCCTTATGTTCTATCTGCTTCTCTCCTACATGGTCCCAGTAGCTCTGAAATACTTGATGAAACATTTGGGTTTTTTCTTCCATTTGCCCTGAAAGACATTCTTTTTAGTTCCATGGGTAGGGGGTAATAATGAAGAGCCCAGACAGAACTTCGATAGTTACACTCCCCTGTGCTGTACAGAGGTAACACGTGATTGCTGTGAAACTGAACTCTGTGACACTGATGTGTCAAATGTGATAATGGATGGTTACCCGTGGTGGACAGTGTTTGGTGGAGCTCCCCAATTAAAACAAGCTTGGAAGCAGGAGTGGCATCCACTTCCAAAATAGCTTGTCTCCAGAAACCCTATGAACTTGGAGAAAGGACAAAAGTTATTCAAGTGTTCATAGGGTCTCTGTGAATCATTTATGGCTTGATAGCACTTAACAGCAACAACATCCAAGTTCACAAAATCAGAAACAAAATCTCCCTAGAGGTGGCGTTCCATGAGGAATAGGTGTATAGATTATGGAGCCACATTGCTTCCTTTTTAATCCTGACTCTTTCACTTGCTTTGAGCAAATAGCTTAACCTCTCAGTTTCTTCATTTGTAAAAAAAAAAAAGAATAATATGAATTAGAATAGTGCTTCCTCTCCCCTTATAGGAAATGCTGTGCTGCACTGGGGAGCAAAATTCTCTCTTCAACTACTTGCTTGTTGCTGTGTTTTTCCTCAACAACATGATCATGGTACTTCACTCCGTTGGGTGACCCAAATCTTCATTTATGGAATTCTGGGCCATTCATATTTCTATACGGATTAAGTTGTAGATTTACCAGATCATGGAAATGGTCATACTAAGAGATGGACTAAAGAATGTCCTATATTCTAGACATACTCTTCCTTTATCATCATTATGTCATAGCAGTGTAATCTTCCCTTTGGTAATCAGGATTAACCAGCCAGTTAACTTAGTAGCTCCTTTCTTTGATTATTGATTTGGGAGTCATAATAAGCTCCAAGTTACTGGGTGACCATAATAGCTTCCTATTTAATGGAATCATTAGAGATCTGTTAGAACTAAAAACTCTAGACTAATAGAGCATAAACTCCCAGGGACAAAATGCAAAATATTTTCTAGGGATGATAATGAATGATGGCACTCCTATTTCCACCCTTGAACTCGGGTTATGGGTGAAACGGAGCTCTAGGTCAGATGCTGATTCAGAGTATATTCACCCTTCTTCTAGACCCTTATCTAAGTTTTGCACAATATTGCTATCTAGCTGCAAAAGCCACCAAAATCCTATCAAGCCATCTGCTTCAGAAAGTGTTATTTTTTTAATCCCAAATTCTCACTCAATTCTTATTTTTCTGATATGAATATTGTGTGGTTGTTTTTTTGGTGTTGGGTTTTTTTTTGTTGTTGGTGGTGGTGTTTCTAAGGGTTTTTTTTTTTTGCATACTTGACTTTTGACTTCTACAGAAGATGATGAACTTGATCCAATATCTTGTCTTTCTCTTCACTTGTGTTCGTTTATGTACTGATTCACCACACATTCAGCCCACCCTGCTTTATAGATCAGGAATTCCTGAATGAGTAATAAGACCGATTTTAAAAATCTGATGTTAGAAGCTGGGTCAGAGTTAATTTTATGTCTCGGAGTCTAATATAGAAGCAGTTATGGCTGAGTCATTTCAAGTGAGGGGGATGATTGGAGCAAAGAGTTCTAAATTAAGGGCCATCCTACATGTCAACATAAATAATTCAGTTTTGAGATTTATGTTCCAAATCCATCTTTCGCTGAAATACCATGATTCCTGAATCAACGGATTTCTGACTTTGGTTTCCTATCTCACATCCCCAGCAAAAGCCCAAGTATTTTTAGACAGAAACTGAAATTTTATTCTGCCCACTTGGAAAGAAGGAATCCCTCCCGCCCTCCCTGAATCAGAACCTTCTGGTCACACAGGCATTGCCAATATTCTAAAAAAGACGCAAAGACTGAGTCCAAGTTTTTCAGGACCACACCAGTCAAGTAATACCGTATGGTGACATATTTAAAAGCATCAGATTCTGTTTTCAAAACTGTTTACTTTAGAAGGAGCAATGTTTTTATTTAAAGAGGTCTTAGCAAAGAGCATCATCCAATTATTCAAAGCAAGAACATTTGCCTAATTGGATTCATGCTTTGTAGTTTTGTGACAAGATACAGACCAACAAGAAAATTAATCCTCTCCCAGTTCTTACAAGCTCAGTCTTACCGCTGCCTACACAGGGAAAGTGGATCTATAATTACCAAAGTGCAAGACCTGAGATTAATCCAATGATAAAAGTTAAGGAGAAATCCCAATAGGAAACTCAATAAAAGCAGTTTATAATTTCTATTCTTTATGAGGAAATGTAATTCAGGAAAGGTTTTGTTTGTAGTGGAAAGACAGGATATTTTCCCTTTAAGGAGGGGCTCCTATTACTCAGAATTCTAAAAAAAAAAAACACACAACCAACCAAATAATCAACTATAAGAAAAGCAACAACAAACTTCATGATGAATATAAAAAGTGGCAAATAATAACAAATTGTTTTAAAACTTTTTAAAAAAATTAATGACTTCAATATATATGACTTGAAAAAATATATATATGACTTGATTTTATCTGAAGTGTATAGTTCGTAAAATGTATCTGTTATGTAGAGATTTGATGTGTGTATAAATTCTGGGGCTAGAATGATTTCTAACTACCTCCTAATGTTAGCATTCCATCTGCTTGAACCCAGGATGCATTCAGTGTGTCTCTTCACATAAAAGAAATCAGGTTACATGATGTTCATTCTGGCAATATTCCAACCTAAAATTGTATCTCAAATCAAAGAAATAAGGAGCAATACAATTCTAAATAATGGTCAAGCTGGCAGAATAAAGGATTCCACAGCAGGCTTTTCCCCCCTCATCAGTCAAAGAAAATTGTCCTATAGTTAAATAATGTAGATGACTTAAAAATTGATAGATTGGAGATACGCTGTACTTCTTTGGTTATTAGAATTTTTGAAGTAAATTATAATAATAAAGAGATTCTAGAATATGTACACATCACCCAGCAAGATGGAGGTTACATAATCTGCAGGGTGTGCATACTTCCTGCCATACTATAAAGATGCCATTATTATTATCACTTACTATTACAATGGAATAATAATAATTTATGCCTGTTTCACTTATACCTCACCACCAGATGCTTCTTAACTGTCGAGGATTCTGGGAAGTTGTCATATTTACTAGAATTCTAAGTGATTCTAAGACTCTATGGTGATTCTAAGACCCCATCTGTTCCTGAATCACTCTTAAATTTGTACAGTGATAGTTTACGAGCCTCTCAGAACCTATTCCAGCAATTAATAACCTTGATTACATTTCATCAAGTACAAAGATTTAAGTAGGTTTGTTTCATTTGTAGATATAGCTCGAGTCTATAACTGCAGAAGCAGTTATTAAGTCTTAAAAGACCAAGAAAATCCTTTGATGATTTACATAAAAGTATCTCGGTCTCTAGAAGCATCCATGTCTAACCACAATTCAATAGATGTTTTTCGTCAAAGGCTTTGCTTATGCTAGAAATGGTTTCCTTTTCAATTCTCTACCAATTTAATATTTTACAACTGATTTAAAGGAGAAATCAGCACATCTTTAAGATAATAAAAAAAGGAGTTTGCCAAGTTGGTATATCAGTATAGGAACATATTGGAGGGGTTTTGTTTGTTGTTTACTGTTGACCCATAGCAGACCCACTGGCGGGTTTTCAGAGGTAGTTAATCACATGGGAGGAGATTGTCCATCCTTATCCTGTGGAGCAGCTGGTGGCCTTGAACCCAGTGCCTTTGAGATTGCAATGCAGCTCCTTGCCACTAGGCCACATGTAGTATATATCAGTATAGGAACATAGAGTATTGAAAATAAGGAGAACTATATAGGGGTATGATTCTGATATTCCTTCATAGTTGTTTAGGAATATTCCCTGTATGGAATAACAATTCCTACGTGGAATTACTCCTACAGAGGAGTGATTCCTATATTATAATTACAAAGGGATATGATTCTGATATTCCCAATGTTGTTGCTGTTATGTGCCATCGAGGTCCCAATAGTCATTCCTATTTGCCATTTGGGTAGACATCAATAATTTAATAAAAGATGAGTCAGAATAAATTACCTACATCACCACTACTGTTTATGTTTTAGTGGTGTAATCAAGTTGTTGTTGTTGTTATGTGCCATCGAGTCATTTGCAACTCATAGCCACCCTATGTACAAGAGCTCTAAATGCTGTTCTATCCTGTGCCAATCTAGCCATCTCAAATGCACTTATTCCCACCGCTCCAGTCACAGAATCGATCCATATCATCAAAGGTCTTCCTCTCCTTTGCCGCCCCTCCACTCTGCCAAACATGATGTCCCTCTCCAAGGACCAGTCCCTCCTTGCAACATGTCCAAAATATGTCAGACGAAACTTCAGAATTCTTGACTCCAGGGAGCACTCTGGCTTCACCCTCCCCAGGAAAAACCTGTTTGTTCTCCTAGCAGTCCATGGTATATTCAACACTCTTGCCCAGCACCACAGCTCAAAGGCATCAATCCTCTTTCTATCATCCCTATTCACTGTCCAACTCTCTAATGCATAGCACAAGTGCTGGTTTTAAAAATAATTTCTGGATGCTATTTTCTATTATATTTGTTTCTCCTTTTCAGGTACCAAGGGTTTGTTACAGATTCCACAGTTGCCTTAGTTGTGGGACTCTTGTTTTTCATTATCCCAGCTAAGAAATTGACGAAAACCGCACCCACGGGAGAAATAGGTTAAGTATCATTTATAATTCGGAGTGAATTTTGTCAGAAGAGTTAAAAACGTACCCTGTAGGTTTCAGTTAGCACTTGAGCAGAAGGACAGGACGTCTTGACACTTTCTATCTAGCCTACAAGGTCTATTTGCACACAGCGACCCTAACCAGGCGAAACGTGTTCTCCACACACTAGGACAGCACTCTTTGCAGAAGTGGCCAATCAATTCCTTCATGTACGTGGTTAGGGTTCTTCCATGAATGAATGCAGTTATCTGACCTGGGATAAAAGTCCTTCCCTGCTACAACCAGAATTAATCTCACTGTAGGAAACACAGCATCAAGATCAGGAATCATCACTTTGTGGATGAACCTTTCTATACTAAAAGCTGAGGACCAAAAAAAAAAAGTGAGAAATTCAAAGAGAAATATGATTTACAGCCTTTTTGGCAGCGATTTAGGCTGCTTACACAAAGGTCAAGCCTCTCTGGAGGTTCAAATCCACGAGCGGCCCCTCAGAAGAAAGTTGGGGAGTTTTCTACCATGTGATTTACAGTCTTAAAAATTGGCTGGAGAGTCAACTATGAGTCAATTCTGACTTGATGATCATGGTTTGAGTGAATAGTCCTGAAGAAATGCAAATAAACTCCACAGAAGACAAATCTGTTACCACAGAAACTGAACATATTCAGAGGAAGTATTATTTTTTTTTTACAAAATATGGGCAGCAAAGCATACACTTTAAAAAAATTATTTATTTATTTTTCATTTCACTTAATATCTACAGAGATTTTGGAATTCCATTCATTCATTGTTGCACCCTTCTCCCTGCCCACCCCCCAAAGCATACACTTCTGCATATCTACACCCCCAGAAACACACACAGAGGATTCATCCACAGTTACGTGTTCTTGTGTTTGGGTATTCATATTCCTGTCTTGTCAATATAAGAAGGTTGTAATAATCTGAGAATAATAATGTAGAGTGGGATTTTTACAATAATATACTGATGCATCTGGATTGACTTCCCTAGATCCATGAGCCATAATCTAGGAATCACTAAGAGATCAGATTTCTTGGAAAGACAAGGTATATGTGGCCAGAATAATGTGAAACCTAGTATCTTGTTCTTTATTCATGATTACGCTGTCCCACAAACCTGGGTTATAATGAGTTGTTGCACTGTAAGCCGTGTAAATTCATGAGAGTTTAAGGATTCTGACCCTTATAATCAAATGCCTAACTCTGACTGTAGCAAGTTGAAGAGCCTATGCTGGTTTTATTATCCTCTATCTAAATATCCTCCCAACAGAAAGAACTTTGCATTTTTTTCCTCTCTCTCCCTTCATTCGTCAACACCTATGCCCTGTGAACACTAATTTCCATCAGCTGTGAAAAATGGCTAGTAAAACATAATGCTTAGAGTTCTAAGTGAGAAATAGAACCCAGAATGTTTGTACTTCAGTAGGACATAAGAAAGTTATCCAGGTAAGAAAGGGGAGTGCAAAATTTTAGTCAGTAGTGAAGCTAGGTTTGTTTTTGGCTTCAGTGGAGGAAGAGGAAGGAAGCTTATTAGTAACCATGAAATCTGGACATGCACAGGGCTCCCTGCTGCCAACTAATGTTAAACAGGCCTAACGTGTTTGAGGGCACCTAACAGCAATAGCGCGTTCACAGATTAAGTTAGTTGTCATCATGTAAAGAATGAAATAAAAAGAAAAAATAGAATAAATACCTTATGAGTATTGTAAGGATCTCATCAGTAGTTCTTAAATAAATTTTTAAATGAGAACCCTGGTAACTATATTATGACCCTACTTATGATTAAAAAATAATATAACATTCAAATAATTCTTGTTAGATACTATCAAATTGGTTCTGACTCATAGTAACCCTATGTACGACAGAATTAAATATTCAATCCTGCATCACTCGAGTTATTATTGCTAGCCACTGTGGTAGCCACTATGCAAATCCCACTTAGGATCTTCCTCATTTTTTACTGACCCTCTTCTTTGCCAAGCAGGAAGTCCAGTTCCTCACCGTAACACTTCAACAGTACATGGGATGGTATCTTCCCGTCTTCGCTAATAAGCAGTATTCGGGCAGTACTTGCCCCAAGACAGATGTGTTTGTTCTTCTGGATTGTTCGTTGATGCATAATTCAGAGACATCAATTTATCTTCTGTCTTTCTTACTCCTTGTCCAGCTTTTGCACACAAATGAGGCGATGTAAAGTATCATAACGTGGATCAAGTCCACCTTAGTCTTCCAGGTGGCATCTTTGTGTTTTAACATTTCAAAGAGGTCGTCCGCAGCAGGTTTGCCCAACACAATCCATCGTTATGTTTCTTGACTACTTCTTTCATGGGCATTGATTTTGTGAATCCAAATAAAATTACACCCTAAGAAGCTTCAATATTTTCTCCACATCATAATGTTACTTGTGAAAATTTTTATTTTCTGCATATTGAGATTTAGTTCATTCTGAAGGCTATAGTGTTTGATGTTCATTAGTGCTTCAAATCCCTTCACTTTCAGTAGGAAAAGAAATAATAATGAACATTAATTATCTTACTACACTGGTGTCAACAAAACCAATGAACAGTACAGTATTTTACATCAAAAAGAAAAATGTCATCCAATAGGCCACGTTGCTCACAGGACATAAAGATTAAGGGAGAAACAGAATAAATAGACAGCACTGTAAATGAAAATGTTGTAATATATCTAAGTTTATTGTGTAATAGTACCCAAGCAAATATCTTAAGTCATAGCATTTCTTTAAAGCAATATAGGAGTATTATATACTCTTCTATGAAGGATATAGTGGGGGAAATGTTATCTTGTTGTAGTTTAAGCAATGTGTAAATGTAGGACTTTTGTTTTGCAGTTGCTTTTGATTACTCTCCACTGATTACTTGGAAAGAATTCCAGTCATTCATGCCCTGGGACATAGCCATTCTTGTTGGTGGAGGATTTGCCCTGGCAGATGGCTGTGAGGTAAAAATGTCTAGAATATTTAACAATTAATGAGACTGTTCAAAAGAAGAACCCAGAAACGTTCAAGCTTTTTATATATTCAACTTTATTCTATTATTTTAATGAAGCAGATTGTAATAGCCATCGGTGAGAATACCACACAGATGAGCTGAGTTCAGAGGTCATGAATTTTACAGACTGCAACCACAAAACGTCCTTTTTTAATGGTGTTCTGGCATGACAAAAGAAATAAAGCAAAGAAGATTAAGCTTCCTAATCCATGAAATCATATAAGAAGAAAAAAAAACATACTAAGTTATATGCAGAATGATTCTTAGGGGGCATATTTCTTGTTTATTTATACATTTACCTTATTTCATGATTAATTTGAGTAGCCATTTTATTCAAAACAGTGTGGTCTTGTTTTTATTAAAGGAGAAGGAGAAACAGCATTAAAGGCACTTAATAAAAGTTTATTGAAGCCAATCCAGAGAGACTTTCACATAACCATGTTTAATGCTACACATCATCTCAGGAAGAAATCAAAACACCACAAGGCTTGACGTTGGTTATTTCCGTACCCTACGTGTCAGTGGTCTTATCCTAGTCTTTGTAGAGTTGCTGAGGAAAATATATATCTTCTCTAAAAATTCTTTCCTCACTGTCTAATTAAAAACTTCTCTTTTCTGGAGTTTATAGCCTTTTGTGAAACACCCAAAGTTCACGACTGTTCCATTTTTTCCTTCTGTTGTTGTTGTGTCCAGCCCTTTAGCTTCCAGCATTTAAACTTTTATGCTCTGCAAGACCAGTAACTATTTCTTCTCCTCTTCTATTCTTAGCTTGTAGCTTTATTCTCAATTTTTCTGGGTAGTGTTTGGATACTGAGCTCTCTGCAAGAGGATTTAGTAATAGCAATAAGTCTTTGAAATTGTCTCAATTCTGAGTGCCATTTACAACATCATTTTAGGCCCAGATTTGACACGTCTCACAGAATACCCAAATAGAAATGAGAACTACGAGGAAGAGACATCTTTCTTTTCCGCTCCTTCAGCAGTAATGCAATCTGCTTTTTCAGAACCAACAGCTCCCTCTCTGCCCTTGTCTATTAATTTGCAGGAGATCAGAATCAGGAAATCTGACACTGTCAATTTTGCTCCTCTCTTCCAGCAAAAAGGACTACTATGTGGGTTGGACCCTAGATGATCACTGTAGTTGGGCCATGCCCTAGCACAGTCATACTCAAAGGAAAATGGGTTAATTTGACATGATGAACTTTGCTCTCAATGAAAGAATCAGGTGAACCATGGAGAGAAGTCTGATTTGCTATAAAAATGACACAGTATAGATTCAGATCACTCTCTGAGTAATGAGATCGGAAGCATTAACTTCAAAAATATGCAGGACACTCAATTTAAAAAAAATATAGATATGCAGGGGATAAATTTTCCCCTAGAAGCTGGTTTTACAAAGATTTAGAGATGGTTCATGTGTCACAGGCTATAAGTAATCTGGTAAAAGTCCAGAAGCAGAAAACCCCTCAAGATGGGAATGAGCCAATAGCAGTTGCTACGTTTTTCACATCATTACAATTCTCTGTTTCTCTTAGAGATTTGTTTTTCTCTCATTTTCTTTTAGCATGGTCTTCCTGTAGTCACTTTCCATTCTGACCTTGTAAGTCACTTTCAAGTTCTTATCTAGTGACTAACTTCTCTCTCCTTTCACACATCTTCAAAATTCATCTCCTCATTAAACATGGAGCGCTGGAGGCTGGGTGGGTGTGTGGATACACTGTTAATCCAAAAGTGGAGCCTCTTCAGAATTTCAAGTTCACCAGCAATTCCACCAGAGAATCATGAATAATCTCCCATGTAACTTAGAGCCTCCTAACACTTAGTTATGAGTTGGTTCTGGCTCAATGGCAATGAGTTAAGTGAAACATGGAGGATTTAACTCTCTTTTTTCTTCATTTTCTCTCAAATTCTAACTGAAACAGCACAATAGGCTCAATCCATAAAGATAAGGAATATATGGGAAAAGACATTACCATACAAGAGATGCTGATAAATTTGGAAGATAATGAGAGGAGTATTTGATGGATGACTGACTTGGTAGAGTTGTTATTGTTGAGAGGTGCCTTCAAGTCAAGTACAATTCATACCAACCCTGTGAACAATAGATGTGAACACTGTCCTATCTGGTGCCATCCTCTTAATCTCTGACACACTTAAGCCCATTGGTGCGATCACTGTGTCAATCCATCTTGTTGAAGGTCTTTTTCTTCTTCGCTACACCTCCCCCACCTTTCTGAAATGATGTCCCTCTCGAAGGAATAACCTCTCCTAGCAATGTGCATATATGTGCTAATTGTGTTTGGAATGAATATTCTTCTAAGTGGAACAACAGTGGTCTGTCAATTTGCTGTACTGAAGTAATTCGAGGTTACTATGATGTTGAACACTGTACCACTGGTGTGTCAAATGCCATAATGGTTACCCATTGTGGACAGTGCCTGGTGAAGCTCCCAGATTGATTCAAGTTTGGAAGCAGGCATGGCATTCACTTCCTAAATCACATGCCTCTGGAAACTCTATAAACATAGAGAAACGATGATAGTTATAGAACAGGGTTCAGATCTTTGGTTCATGGGGTCACTATGACTCATGCTCAACTCAAGGACACTCAACAACATGACCATAGTACACGAGGGAAGCCTCATCATCTTTGCCTCTAAGGTGTGTTGTAACTGCACCTTCTCCAAGACGTATCTGTTTGTTCTTTTGGCGGTCCTCAACTAGAACTTCCTGCCACCAAGTTGGCTCCAATGCGTAGCAACCCTCCATCAGGCTTCCAAGGCTGTAGTTGTAACAGGAGACGACTGCACATCTGTCTCCCTCAGAGCTGCTGGCGGATGCAGATCGCCGAGATGCGCCACCTGTGGGTTGGCAGTGTGACTTGCAGTGAACTACACAGTTGGGAGCTCTGGCTGCCGAAGGAAGAGCCTGGGAGGCATACAGGGATTAGCCCAAGATTCCTGGAAGAACCCAGGAATCAGGGACAAAAGAGAACTCTGGGGCCAGAATAAAAGCCCTGGCTGTGAAGATATAAAAATTTCAAAAAGTGTCTCTTGCAGATTTGCTCTTGCATTCTGAACAGCCCTCCTTGCACACAGAAATTTGGAAGTTTATTCTTCATCACTGAATTGAAGAAAGAGACACTAGACACTGGCTCACAGTTCAGTCACCTGCAATACAATCCACCTTTCAACAGCTTCTCTGCAGATACCGAGCTCCCAGTTAGGTTTAACATGATTGAGTACTCAAGGATCACCATGATAGGAAAAGATCCTGATATTATAAAAAGAAACAAACAAAAGCATGAAAAAGCTACTTACTGATTGCCAGACACGTCAGTTCTGACTCTGTGGAGCTGATGCCCCACTGGATTTCCAAGACTACGTGCTCAGGATGAGACTGACCATATTCCTCCCGCGGATGGATTTGAGTGGCCAGAGATGTGTACTCATCGGGTTACCAGCGCACTCCCTATGGACTATGTCACCGAAGTTCCCTTAAAAAAGGAAAAGACCATGTTTTTAAAAATCAAATACAGTGGAGAAAGCAAAGACAATTCTGAAACCTTGTCATGGATTGTCTCAAAGTACATTATAAACATGACAGGCATGAAACTAAAATATCATTTTATTTCTTTTTTTTAAAAAGTGGAAAATAAGAGAGAACCTATGAAATTTAGAAATATGGTAGAAATTAGAAAATCAGGAGTAGAGTTTAAAAGGTGAGTTCGAACAGATCCCAGAAGGTAGAACAAAAAGACAAAATAATTATAAAAGAATATAAGGAAATTAGAGCAACATTAAAAATATCCAATAATCAACTGTGAGTTTTAGAGAGAGGAAGTAAACAAACATGAAAAAATGGAAGGGCATTTAAAAAACATTTCGTGGAGTTAAAAGATTTGGAGTTTTTAGACAGAGAGTTAGCAAGGGCTTACTTATCACAGAAGAACTTTGGAGTACTCAGTCTTCAGAGTTTAAGGATGAAGGAAAAAAGCCTTGGTGGTGCAATAGTTAAGCACTGAACTGTTAACTGTAAAGGTGGTGAGTAAAAAAACTCACCAGACTTTGCAGAATAAAAAGGAGATAATCTGCTGGGGTAAAGCTTTACAAGCAGAAAAGGAAAAATAAAGAATTGATTTTATAATATTGGAAGCAACTGAGGGGTAATTTAAGTCTAGAATTCTTTAAAATCTAAATTTTCAAGCCAATACAAAATGAAAAGAAAGAGATTTTCACACATTCAGAGGGAACAAAGTTATCTCTGATGTATGTATGTATAAGTTCTTAGGAAGCCATCGAAGGATTACAAGAAAGGATTAAATAAGAAAGGAAACCAAGATTCCCATGTGAGAGAAATGAAGAGGGTTCGTGGTATGCGGTAGAGAAGAAAGGTCCGTAGAGTTGTGGGGTAGATGGAAAGAGCAGTGTCTAAATCGAGCTGGAGGAAGAACCCCTCAGAACACAAGTCTGGAGGCAGGAGGGGAAGCAGGCACTGGAAATGAACAATTCATGACATGTGTGAGTGCTAGGAAGGAACTTTCCCCATTTTCTTGGAGAGCATGTGACAAGTACTTAGAAAACTCAGCAAATAAAAAGAAGGATGCAAATTATTTGCTGGGAAAACAAAACAAAAATCTTAATTGCAAATGCAATCATAGTGCATTAAGCATTTTCATTATGAGCAGTGTCTTTATAATCACGATGGGAGACGTTAAATATTGATTTGGTAAAAAAAAAAAAATTACTTACCAGTGTGAGGAAAGGAAGGAATGGGGGATAATGCTGTGGTGTTGCAGGTGTGGGAGAAGTATAACTCTATTTGTCCAATGATTGCTAGATGCAGTTTCTACTGTACTTAAAGATACTGTTGCATAGGGTATTACATGTTGAGCTGCTAACCAAAAGGCCAACAGTTCAAATCCACAAGCTTGTCCAAGAAAGAAAAATAAGAAATCTCCTCCAGTGAAGATTTACAGCCTAGACACCCGAAAGAGGGTTATTGATTTGATGACAGTGGATTATAATTAGAATATTATTCCAAAAGCTCTCTGTAACTACTTAAATAGAACTATAAATAGCTAGATAAAGTTGAAAGTGTTACCACTAGGGGAGCCTGATTTGCTCTGTAGCACGGCATGACTTGACAAAATAGCCATATAATATTAATTTTATAAAATTGATATCTAATTGGGAAAACCATTCATATGTCTTAAAACATGTTACCTCCCAATGAGAGGGACTGGCCCAATGACTACAGTGACAGGCTTAAACACAAAAGGAATTCTGAGGATGCCTCGGGATTGGTCCAGGTTTCATTCTTTCCCAATAGGGTTGCCTCCCCATGGCACCTAACCATTCCCAAAAGGAAGATGGCCCCCCCAAACAGACTGGGAGCTTGACCTTGTCAAAGCCACTAAGATATAGCAAATCATAGAACAATTACAATTCTATTTTGGAAGCATTTCTGAAAATGTTTTTCTGAAAGTAAATTATCATTTTTATGTATTTGAATTGTGTCTAATGAAATAAAATATTAATGAATGGCAAATTTGTTTTTAGGAATCAGGACTCTCTGCGTGGATAGGAAATCAATTATCTCCTCTTGGTTCCTTACCTGTATGGCTAATAATTCTGATATCTTCTTTGATGGTCACGTCTCTCACAGAGGTGGCTAGCAATCCAGCTACCATTACCCTCCTCCTCCCAATATTGTCTCCACTGGTGAGTATTCCAAATGTTCTTGGTATTCAGCAAGAGTAGTAGTTTACTCTGAAACGCAGCTTCTCTGTGGTCTTTATTGGCATTGCTGTTTTTTGTTTGTTTGTTTGTTTCTATCTTTAAAGGAGCTATTAGGTTCTGAGACCCATTTTCTTTCCTGTTCAAGCAGTCGCCTACCTTCTCTTTTTACTCTTGGTTCATTTGCAGCTAATTGAGAGGACCAGTCTAGGTGCAGTGTAGATGTAAGAAAAGGGGCTCAGTGTTCTCTGGTTATGTTAGATCTCTAACAGTCACAAGTCTCCCTGATGAAGACAATCCCTGACATTGTGACAAGTGCTTCATATAAGTAATTTGCAATTGGATGAAGAGTGAGGCTTACAGCTCAGGTTTCAGGTTTCAATATCAAGTTTAAATATGCTTGGACACAGTTCTCTACTGGCTCAGGAAATGCAGAGAAAAACTGCCTTCCTTTTTTCTATCTATTTAAGATGTCTTTCCTTTCTTTACCTTTTACCTTTGCAAAAAGCAACATTAAGTAAAAATAAATAAAATAAAAATTGTTCTTATTCATGCAGATGAGTTTGGTGAAAGAAAAGCATGATCACTTAAAAAAGATTGCTCTTTGTAGACTCTTCTGCTGCCGGCTGTGAGAATGGCATTGATTTTTGTTGGTTTTGACTTTTAGATGACCCTTACCTTTCCCTTGAAGCTCCCCTCCCCCACCACAGGGGCATATATTAGCATTCCTGGAAGGCTGGGCCACATTAGAAAAAAATGCAGGCAATTTACATTGGTAAATCATCATTTGCATTTCCCCCTCTGTGTGTTCACTCAACAACAAGACAGTAGTAGGGAGGAAGGGAAATAAGTGATGAATTAAGAATAGTAGTGACTCATCTGATGATTCTGAAGCAAATTTTAAATTGCATATGCCACAGAGACAGTCAAGTCAGTGGTAAAATGAGAGCCTTGGGGCCAGAGTGACCGTGACCGGGACCCTATCCATCCTCTACTGCTGGCCAGCTGCATGCTTGGACATTACTCTAATGCTAAACTCTATTGGTCTCAATTTTTTCACCCATATTTGTGGCTAATATCTATTTAATATGTTTTCTGTGGGAGTGAAATGAAGATATATGTGTATATATATTTGTATGCGTATAAATTATGTATAAAATACATATGTATCAATTTAATTTTCACAAATATGACTTTTATGCACATATGCAATATATATGCATGCACACATACATACATACTGTACACACACACACACACACACATATGATGGCCTAGTGCTAAGAAGCTGCACTGTAATCCCAAAAGCATGTAGTTCAAATCCACCAGCTGCTCCATGGGAGAAGGATAGGCAATCTCTTCACAATTTACTGCCTCTAACAACCTGCTGGACAGTCAGTTATGGGGTGATTGCAACTCGAGAGGAACAATAGCAACTACAATAATGCCCTGCCTGGTATTATATCAGTCAAACACTCATCTGCTAATGGAAAAGTTGGTAGTTGTTTGCTACTGTGTAGTAATGTGGAAGAAAGACCCAGTAATCTGTTTCCATAACAATAATAGCAATGCAAATATATATGCATCAGGTTCAAATAGGCCCTTGTGTGGTCTGATGGGTAAAGAGTTGTACAGTCAACTCAAAGGCACATAATTTGAATCCACTAGCTGCTCTATGGAAGAATGATAGGCAATCTCTTTCCACACAATTTTACAGCCTCTCAAAAACTGGAGGGTCAGCTATGAGTCAGTTCTGACTCTAGAGTACATAACAAAAACATAGATGAATAGATACACTACACAAAACACAGTATCTTTGTCTTGTTATTGTTATGTGCTGTCAAGTCGCTTGTGACTCATAGCAACCCTATGCACAATAGCCCTGAATCCTGCCTTATCCTGAGCCAATCTCACTATCTGAGAGATCCCTACCACCATTATACCAGTAACTGTGTCAATTCATTTCCTCCAGGGTCTTCTTCTTTTGCATTGTCCCTATGTCTTTCCAAGCATGAAGTCCTTCTCCAAGGACTGGGCCCTTCTGACAACATGCCCAAAGTACATGAGACAGAGCTTCAAAATCTTTGCTACCAAGGGAGCAACTTGGTTTCACCTTCTCTAGGACAAACCTAGATGCAAATTAAAATGTATGGGTTTTTTTTTTTGTTAAAAGTTAATTCTCTAAAGGAGCTAGGTACATGCTTAAATGGGTGCCCATAACCACTGAAACAAGAGATTTTATGGAAAATAATTTCTTCAGAGTATAGCTGTACTTATAAAGACATACTTTAGCATCTTCAGATGTCAACTCGCTTCCCGGAAAGTGGATTACAGTAAATACGCTCATTTTGATGCTGGTTGCTACCCTCAAATTTGCTCAGCTATCTTTTTCCTCTTTTCTAACAGGCTGAAGGCATTCAGGTGAATCCTCTTTATATTTTGATACCTTCAACTCTGTGTACTTCATTTGCATTCCTCCTGCCGGTAGCAAATCCATCCAATGCTATTGTTTTTTCATACGGTCATCTGAAAACCATTGATATGGTGAGTTAACGCGATGCTATGTATTTCTGAGTCTAATACACACTTTTAGTGGTCTTGGGTTGGCTCTTATTTTATATCCTAACCAGCCACCGAGGAAAGCATAGCTTGACATCTTCTTCAGAATATTCTAGCTGCTCTGAGAGCTGTTTTAGATAGTATAACTAGGAGCCGTTTCAGAAAGAACAAGTCATTTTAATTTACCATCTCAAGCGCAGAAAAGAGTAGCTCGATAAAGGTGCTTAAATAGGCAAAAGGAATAAGTACTATAAAGTAGGATTAGCAAAATTCAACCAGCAAGGTAGCCCCGTGGCTTGCTAGTACAGATATTTATGCAACCAGCCTCTGATCTGAACACGACAATGGGCTCAGTTCTAGCAGATGAAAAGATATCTTTCTTGTTCCCATTCTGATACTCATCCTTCTGTGCCTCCCTGAGAGTTGGCTTTCTGACAGTGATGCGTTGATATACAACCATGAGAAAGCAGGCGATGATGGAGAAGTGATAAAACATATGCATCTTTCCCAGATAGAAATTAAGACTGGAGTAAAAAACTGTTGTGATCAGATCCCACCTTCCTTATTTATCTTCAACTAACTCGTCCAGCAGATAACCGAGGAAATTCAGCTAGATCATTATTATACACTTTCACGGCGAGCAAAAACTTCTCCTCATTTTACTGAGATTGCTGTTCTTGAGCCGATGCTATTTTAAAATTTTAGACCTGCCTCCAAGAAAATGTTAAATACTACCGTAGGAGTAAAAAAAATATGCATAATGCAATGTAACCAATGCCCTTATGTATGCATATGCGCGCACGCACGCACACGCACACGCACACGCACACACACACACACACACACACACACACGCTGGAGTAAATAAGTGACCTGCATGAATTGCGGGGAAAAAAGAAGGGACTGCAGTAATCTTTGCTAGATAGCCCCTTTTTGCTTTGAGATTTCATATTTTAATATATAACTCAGCAGATTTTTCTCTTTCAAAGGCCTTACAACCATACCGTAAGATGTTTAAGGCTTTGCCACAGCTCCTCAGCTCTGATAATACATAGATGTGCGCAACTCTTGTCCACTACAACTGCATTTATAAAACAAGCCACATGCGGTAGCTTCCTGACATCTATGTTAATGCACAGAAAGCATCATAGAAAGAATTAGACACCTGAATAATGCTTTAAAAGCCAGATCAGAAAAAAGTATGAAGTCTAAACAAGATGATTAGAAATGGCATTAATCTATCTCAATAAGAGAATATAGAATCATAAACTAATAATTTAGAGTGGTTTGAAGGATCTGGTTATAAACAGCTTGTCATCACATGAGGAAGATGACCTGAGTCTTATTCCTTATAATGTGATAGAACACAAATTATGCTTTAATGTAGATTGGCATTTTTAAATAGCTGTATTCCTAAACTGAATCACTCTCAGACTCTCCACATAAATAGTGCTCACTTGGGGATAGATTTTTATCGTGAGAAGACGAGCCCAAGCTTTTAAAGTGATGATAGTATCTACTGATGGTTTGATTTATGTAAATCTGACATGTGACTTCTGCAACAATGTCCTGATCCTCCTAAGTGTTTTCTTCCTGAGACACTGATTTTTCATGTTTTTCCTGGTTGAAGGTTAAAGCTGGACTTGGTGTGAACATCGTGGGTGTTGCTGTGGTGATGCTTGGCATGTTCACCTGGATTGTGCCTATGTTTGACCTCCACACTTATCCTTCTTGGGCACCTGCATTAGGCAACCAGACTATTATGCCATGACCAGCAATAATGCTCTGAGTCTCCTGTGGTGAGTTTTGGAGCCACTATGAATTCACTGTAAAGTTTGGCTCTGGACATCTGATAAATCAGTCAAATCTGAACTATGTTGTCTCTGGTTCCTGCAAGACCTGCTTTCAAAACTCAAGCATCCACATCAACTTTGAGATGTAGCCCAGGCATAGCTACGTGTCTTCATTAAGAAGTCTGGGGATCTTGCTTGTGAACTGTCTGAATCTTGTTTCATTCTGAGAGTTATTTTTAATTTGACCTTCAAAGAGATTAAAGCATTTCATTTATCTTATAGTTCAGGTTCAGTTTAACATTTCATACGTTATTTTTTTCTTTTTTTATTTCAGAAGCTCCCTAAGAAACTGGATAGAGGAAATAAAACACAAAAGTTAATTAGTATTTGAATAAATCATCTCTGTACATTTTATAAAAGGGAGTTTCCTGAAAAGCAAATGCTTTGGTCAGTCATATGGTGGTGCAGATAAAAAATTAATACATATAAAATATGAATTTCCTCATTTAAAAAAAATCCATTCATTTTTCTTAGTACATAAATAGTACAAAATTAAAGTAATAGTTCTGAAAGTATAGCTAGAAATAATATGCTAACTAAAGAAAACTCATAGATAAAGATTAATTTGTCATTGACCATACAATTGTATTAATTTATTAAATATTCATACTTTTACGAGTTTAGCTCACTAAGAAATATATTTTATTGAGGCTTAATATGATTTGGACAGTTAATACAGCATAGTTAGAAAGTAAAACTAAATGCTATGAAACTGTTAGCACTTCCATATATGAACAATAACTTTGCTAAAAGGTTTGCCTTATTTCTGAAACACTTTATGATATATCTAAAATGAAGAGACTCAGAAAATCTATGACATTTTGTGGTCTATACAGATATAGAAAAATGTCACTTAACTTCATGATATGAAAATTAAAACTTCAGAGGGAAAACAACAAAATGTTTCAAGTTGTTGGTACATTTATTAAAAGGGAAAAATAAATTGTTGGCAGACAAAAAAGGGAAAAGAAAATAAAACTGAATACCTACGTGAAGGGAGAATGAGAACCCTTGTCTGGCACTCAGGAGAGAACAAGCACTATGGCTGTTGACACTTAAAAATTAGATTAAAGGGGGAAAAAGAACAACTGAGAATAAAATATGATGCACAGGTAGGAAAAGATGAAAAGGTTAGAACGCAGAAAGGCTTTAACTAAAAATAAAATGGTTAGAAAAAGAAACACTTACAAATTTGCTTCATTAACATTTATGCAGAAGAGGCCTTTTTTCTTTTTTACAGATAAGCTTATTTATATTTTTGAAATTAAATATACTAGAAAAAATTAACCTTGACTCAAAAGAGAGTCATAGTTGATTCTCCATAAGGGGCTGTAAATTGCACAGAAAGAAATGATCCATTTTTCTTGTGCAGAGCTGCTGCTAGAGGGTACAAGTCAGAGAGGTAGCATTTTTGGGCTAGTAGGGCAACTCCCTACAGTTGTGTTGTTTGTTGTGTTTTTGGTTTTTTTTTAAAAAAAAGACATTTATTTTCAAATGTTATATATATAGAATTGTCCATGTTAATTATATGTCTATTTTTATTACGTTAACAGGAATTTAATTTTGTTTCAAAACACATTTGTCTCTTTGAACCCTCAAATAGAATACTACTATTTGTGTAAATCTTCATTATTAATTTGTTTCTTTTACTATCATGTTACATATCTATTTATGAATCTTAGTATTTATTATATTTCTGCCTTTTTTCCTAGTCATTCCATTTATTGCTGCTGAATTATATGATGGATATGCTTTCATTATGGGGGGGAAAAAAGGAAAGAATTTTCCCAATTCTCATGAACAAATTTTGACTGAAGAAAATAACATAAACACCCTGCTAGAGTAATTTTAATGAATTGCTTCCAACAGCTGTTAAGCACAAGGAAAATAGTACTTAGTCAAAATTTGTTGGAGAGAGCCAAATCCACTCTCTTGCTTCATTTTTTATGTTTGGCTGATCTGTCAAAAATGTCTTCATCCACTGCACGTTTGTGGTGGCCCCACCTGTATTATCCAGCTTCCTCCGTGTGAGGGTTCCTTATTGTCTTTTCAAGTTTCCAAAAGGCAGCTCTAAACTGATGCTCAAAAGAATCTGTCCTCCCACTTGATACTAGGTAGTGTTTTGGTTATTATCCTGATCATTCCTTAAAGGTTAACAAGGAACCTTTGTCATTTTGAATCTCAGGGTCTCACTTAGGATTGGATCTTGGCTCGATAATAGTAGCAATTTCGCCAAGTGCCTATTTACTGTCTGTTCATGCAAGTGTGAGGACTCCTCTAGCATATGCATAGCCCTCATTCACTCTAACTGCTGCTGTAACGCCATCATCTCTGAAATTCAGATTTTCACTCTTCCAGTTTGTGCATTATTTTCACTTTGCTTTGTTTGTACTGAGGACTTTTCTCCTTTTAGCCTGGAAGTTAGGAAGTACTAAGCCAATACTACTAATTAACCTTTTTAAAACAATATCATTATATATTAATTATGTCTTGACATATATGCAATTTGCCACTATACATTATAGATTATTACAATTAATTAGCTTAGTATCTATCTGTCATGGATCAATATGTGATTAGAATATGTTATGATCTTTCCTTTCAAACTGTGTTAGTTTAATTAAACAAATAATGTGCCTTTGATACGTGAATTTTGGCAAACTGGTCTTAATTTTTTGGACAGTAAAGAGTTTCTACTAAGAATAAAAGTGTAAGTCAAAATAAATTGGCTGATTTTTGCTTTGTTCTGTTTTGTGGGATTTTTTTTTTAGTGTGGCTTTTGTTTATTTACAAAATTTGAATACACTGTTTTTCACACCAGATTCTTCCAATTTCCCTCATACCCTCCCATCAAATTTTATAACCCCATGTTTGAAAACAGTTAAAATTGTTACTCTAGCATAGATTTTTAGTCATTTGTTTCCAAGTAAAAGACTTTATTAGTTCAGCAGAAATTTGCTAGTCAAGCTTTGGGAATGGAGATAATGACACTAATTCCCAGTGTGGATTAGACTGCTAATCTAGGCATAAACCAGTAAATGCACCATATAAATGCAGTAGAAATGAATAGATTCTTCAAATAAAGTAATCATCATTTTTCTAGAAAGGAAAATACACAGAGCGTTTAAGAAAAAATTAGGGAGATTTTAACCTCTGATGAGACTTTAGTAAAAACAGTGTGCTACTATTTATTACTATAAGTATTTATTACAGTTACTATTAAGTTGATTCCAATGCATGATGACCAACTTGTATACAGTAATACTGCTCTGAAGTGTTTTGAAGCTTATACCCTTTGGGACTAAGTGGCTAGGCCAATCTCCAAAATACCACTGGATGGGCTCAAACCACCCACTTTCAGCTAATAATAGTGTACTTAACCATTGTACCACCCAGAGACCCTGACTGTAAATACTAGAGGAAAAAAATTTTTTCTTGAATCAGTAATAAAAACACAACAGTGTTGTACCATATACAACACTGAATCAGCAAGAAAACAATGAATATTCTAAAAAGGTAAAGAGAATCTAGGTATTTAAGAATGGAAGAACATCACTGCTGACCCTTAAAAGATCTTGACATTCTCATCCAATGGGTGTAAATGGAGTCCAGGGATAAGACACAAAGCTAGATACAGCTAGGTTAGGACCAAAGAGGAAAAAATGTCTACATTGATGGAATCTTAGAGAAAATGGGCTCAGTGAAAATGTTACAGAGGAAAAAAATTCACTCGGTAGAGGAAACATCCAAAAAATGTTCATATTTTGTCCTATGCATTAACTGGAGGAGATACAAATCTCCCTTGGAACATCTGACTACACAGGGTCCAATACCAGCATAGAGAGTTATTATCAAATGAATTGTATCCCCCTAATCTATGTGTCAACTTGACAAAGTCTTAATTCTCATTAATTTGAAAATTCTGTAATGGTGTCATCTGACAGTTAAATAATAATATAATCATTTCCCCTGGTGATCAAATATGATCAACCAATTGGTTGAGAAGGATTAAAGAGGAAAGCAACACTCTTATTTAGGTTATAACCCTGACTTGATGTAAGGGGAGTTTCCCTGAGGTACAGCCTGCATCATCTTTCATTTGAAGAGATCAAAGAAAACAGAAGTGAGCAGGGAAGAGCATCTTTACAATTGTCAAGAAAGAACTGGAAGTACTGTGTCTTTTGGATCTAGGGTCCTTTTGCTGAGAAACTCTTAGACTAAGGGAAGGACTAATGCTAAGAGAGATGAAAATCTCCAAAGAACATTGGGACAATGGATGTTCAAAGGAGTCAAAGACTCCTTAGAATGAAACAGGAAAGATAGCTGCCCCCTATGTTGGTATATTCTGAATTCAGACTTCTAAACTCCTAAACTGTAAGACAATAAATCTGTTTGTCAAAGCTATTCACTTAATATATTTCTGTTTTCACAGTATTAGATAAAAAAAATAAAGGCAAAAGTCCATCTGAATATGTATTTTTAAATAATCTTGGGTTGACAGTATCCTTAAACACTTGACAAAGGAAGAGGCATACCACCAACCTAAACTTGAATCTACTCAGATTAAAGTTCTGTATCAGTTTTTAACTAAAACTTAGAAAATCTACCAAAAATCAAAGTATAGTATACTAGAGTCAACATAAACCAAAGATACAGAACCCAAATTTCAAGGACATGAGATGTGGTATAATTAATAAATAAATACTATAAGATGAGAAAATTTAATATAGGAACACATAAAAGAGAATTTTGAAAGGATAGTAAATGCAGTAGGCAGAATTCTAAAAAGGTTTGGCTAAGAGTTTTACTTCCTAGTTATTCAACCAAACATGAATCTAGCTACTGCTGTGAAAGGACTCTGGAAATGAAATGGAAGGTTGCTAATTAGCTGCTCTTAGCATAGGTAGTTTATCCTAAG